CACACCTAAGGAATTCCCCTCCCCCAGCGTCTATGGCAAACTGAGCGATGCAAGAGTGGAGCAAGGTTTGGCAATTATCACCTCCTGATGCATGTTCAAGACACACTGATATCCTCTCCTCTCCTCTCTCTCTCTCTCCCCCCACAGCTATCTCTGGCTCCCTCCTGCAGCTTAGCTGATGCAGCCCGGCCAGTTGCCTGAACAAGCTCTGCAGCCTGGCCAGCTCTTGTCCACCCCTGGGTCCTGTTATACAGCCTCCGGTAGCCCCCAGTACTACTAAGAAGGCCCACAGCTGGGGCTCTAAGTCAGGGATTCCTCTGTCATGCAAAGCAGAGCACTAGCTCCTGTGACCACTTGGGAGTGGAGAGTTCCAAAGAAAGGAACCTCTGGGGATCCAGTTTGGTGCTGGCCACCGAACTCCCTCCTCAAGAGAACAAAATGTCGACTCCAAACCTCAGGTGGGGGTTGCAGAGGCACAAAGCAAGGCTCAGAGCGACACGTCCCCATTAATCCCATGAGGGGGGATGGCAGACGACCCTTAGTCCTTAATAATAATAATAATATACTTTATTGTCATTGTACATAGTACAACGAAATTAAGATTGGGGACCTGGTTAGGACGGAGGCTACAGAAGAGGTTGGTGTGGTTTCCATTTTCTCATTTTCCTCACCAGAGGGCAGTAATGTTATTTGAATAGAGTCTCTAGTGCCACAGGACTTTATTCTCTCAGTGTTACTGAGGAAGTATTCCTCCTTTGTGTGACTCAGTGCTCTGTTCTTAAGGTGAATTTGAATGTTTGTAGCCAGCTGTTCCTTGAAGGGTATTACTGCTCATGACCTCTATATGGAAGCAAACTTGCCCTATGCAAGTACACGCACATACCTTCTTCTAGACACAAATAATCTTTCACCTTATGCCCAGTGGCACCTTAAATACCAACAGTATTTATAGGGCTGTAGTTTTTCTTTGTGTATGCTGGATTTCTACAGGATGGAATTTGGTTTCTGGCACAGAATTCACCACTTTAATCCCTACTTCCAGGGGTTTGAAATAAAAAGCCTGAAAAACATAGGCAGTACTTTTGTAAAATGGGGCTACCTAGGAGTTTCAACTAGCTAGAGCTTTTGTCTATTATTGCTTATGGCTACTATTCCCCACTTTACAGCTTTCAACCCTGTGTTCCTTCAGTTACCTTTTAATAAAACACTCTGTACCTTGTATCACTTGCACAAACGATTCCAGTCCCAGAACTTGGATTACCTTTGGAGTGGAGTTTGGAGTTCACTGGGGCTGGGCACACACAGTGTTAACTGCACATCCACCTTGGGTGTGGTGTGATCGGGGTTTCAATACCTCCTATTGTACTGGTCATGTGTTTTTGTAGATTCCCTGCAATGGTCAGAACCCTCTGACATTTAATGGCCAAGCGGTGTGGGTCTGGGGGAAATTCCATTTACCACTGACATCCCTGCCCCAGTCCTTGCCACTGCATCCATACGGAAACAGCAGGAGCCTCTCTATAGGCTTCTATCCAACTACAATATAGAAAGCTAACACGCCTAATTCCCAAACTGGAGTTTTGCAAGGCGATGCCTGATAGGACAGAAGGGGACCTACCACACTGTCTCCTTCTGCTCCATAGTGGATAGAGAGAACTTTTTTTCTCCCATGGTGGGGCACTCAAGTTGAAGGGCAACATTGTCAGGATGGATAACATAGAGTACTGCTTTACTCAATGAGTAATTAAATTGTGGAATTCACTGCCAGTGGACATAGTGATGGCCACTAGCACTGATGGCTTTAAAAGGGGGTCAGACAAATTCATGGAGAGAGGTCCATCAGTGGCTATTAGCCATGGTGACTAAAGGGAACCTCCACATTCAGGAGCAATAAATCTCTGAATATCAGTGCTAGATAGCAACATCAGGGGAAGTCTTTGGCCTCAATACCCTTTTAGTTGGCCCTCCAGGGTAGTTTTTTGGCCACTGTGTGGAACAAGATGCTGGACTAGATGGATTACTGTCCTGATCCATCAGGGCTGCTCTAGTATTCTTAGAGAATCTCATTTAATTCTTAGCTGTGCTTTTCTGGTGATCCCTTAGTGGCAAAAATGCTCATTCAAGAACTTCAATAGTTTTTTTCCCTGGGATCTGTGCTTGACAGACATCAGAGTACCTTAGCAAAGCCACGGAGGCACCTACCTTACAATCACTAACTTGTGGCACCTGGAACACTTCCCCCCCTCTATGCTCACTGCGGTGTGTGTGGGGGGGTACTTTGAAAGAAGGACTAACCCATTCCCTCTTTCCTCCCGGGGTTCTGTGCCTTAAAGTTTGTGAACTTCAACAGAAGATCTTCAGAGCAAATCCTAAATGGAATGGAGCTGGGAAATACAATAATCCCTCCTTGTTTTTATTGAGACTTTGGTGGCTCAAGTGGTTAAGACGCTGAACTGCAGGCTGTGGAAGGTCAGTAGTTCAGTAGTTCAAGACCCGGGTGCCGCAAGACGGGGTGAGCTCCCGTCTCTAGTTCCAGCTCCTGCCAACCTAGCAGTTTGAAAGCAAGAAATTGCAAGTAGATAAATAGGTACCACTTCGGTGGGAAGGTAACAGTGTTCCGTGCGCCTCAGCGTCTAGTCATGCCGGCCACATGACCACGGAAACATCTTCGGACAGCACTGGCTCTTCAGCTTTGAAACGGAGACGAGCACCGCAACCCTAGAGTCGGACTTGACTGGCTTTTGTGCAAGGGAACCTTTACCTTTTTACAAAGATACCAGCTAAGAACAAGCCATCTTCATATCTTTTGAGGATGTTGCATTTCTGTGCAGAGTGCTGTGAAATTCTGTCTGCGTGTTTGTATGCAGACATTCTTGCAATCCACAGATGCACCCTCTCATAATTTATACACGTGTATGGGAAAAAAATCTCTTCAAAAAGCTGTGCAGAATAATTGGTGTCTTTCAGATCCCCAACTGTTTTTGTGTTGTCTAATTATTGTAATATTATTATTGTAATATAGGCACAAGAACATCCACTCATCCATTATCATGGGTGGGAATGTAGAGGTGGAGTGACCAGCCTACATCTTCCCATTGTCCCTGTCAAACCAGGAATGGGCAAACTATTGATGCCCTTGGGAGGCATTGATATATTAAAGCCACTGCAAATCCAGATGTTCCTGTCTGCTTGAGGCCTGATAAGCTGTCCTTGCTGGGGTATCAGCTAGTTCTGCCCACTTCTGTTCCCTTTGCTCATGTATGGAGGTGATGCTGCTGGTATTTTTAGATGTCTGCATTAGCCAATGACAGCACCATATCCATACTTATTGTTAGTAGCTATGTACCACACAGCTGGTCTGTTTTCTGTTTGGAAAGCTGCCAGCAATGGGGAAATTTGCCACAAGACAGAGCTTGGTGAGCCACATGTTGCCCACCCTGGCAGTAATTATTGATGGCACTTTAGTTTCCAGTCCTGTGGGATCTTCCCCAGTTGTCCAAGTTTAGCTGACGTGTTTTGTTTTTCTTTTAAAATAAGTGCATATTTTGTGGATTTTTTCCTACTTAAAAGAAATATTTAATGAACATTTTGGGCTCTCCCTTATTTCTATTCCATTTTGTAGTTCCAGAGTTTATAATTCTGTTTCCCCAAAATGTTTTTGAATAAGCTTTTATCAGTTCTTCACTAATATGGAATTCATCCTTCTAGTCTTCCTTTTACTGCTATATACCTACCTGAATTGCTGATTTATATGTTGTTGTTGTTCAGTCGCACAGTGGAGTCCGACTCTTTGCGACCCCATAGACCAGCTCCCTCCAGGCCTTCCGGTCTTCCGCCATCCTCTGAAGTTTGCTCAACTTCATGTTCGTTGCATCGATGACACTGTCTAACCATCTCATCCTTTGCCGTCCCCGTCTTCTTTGACCTTCAATCTTTCCCAGCATCAGGGTCTTCTCCAGTGAGTGCTCCCTTCTCATTTGGTGGCCAAAGTATTTGAGCTTCAGTTTCATTATCTGGCCTTCCAGGGAACAGTCAGGGTTGATTTCTTTGAGGATTGACTGATTTGTTCTTCTTGCAGTCCAAGGGACTCTCAAGAGTCTTCTCCAGCACCATAGTTCAAAAGAATCTATTCTTCTGCGCTCGGCCTTCCTTATAGTCCAACTCTCGCAGCCATACATGACTACTGAGAATACCATTGCTTTGACCATGCGGACTTTTGTTGGCAGGGTGATGTCTCTACTTTTTATCATGCTGTTTAGGTTCGCCATCGCTTTCCTCCCAAGGAGCAGGCGTCTTTTAATTTCATGACTGCTGTCACAGTCTGCGGTGATCTGGGATCCCAGGAACGTGAAGTCTGTCACTACTTCCACGACTTCCCCTTCTATTTGCCAAGGAGTCATGGGGCCGGATGCCATGATCTTAGTTTTTTTGATGTTGAGCTTCAAGCCCACTTTTGCGCTCTCCTCTTTTACCCTGAGCAAGAGGCTCTTGAGGTCCTCTTCACTTTCTGCCATCAGAGTGGTATCGTCTGCATATCTGAGGTTGTTGATCTTTTCCCCCGCAATCTTAATTCCTGCTTGTGATTCATCTAGGCCAGCATTTCGCATGATGTACTCTGCATATATATTAAATAAGCAAGGCGACAATATACATCCTTGTTGTACTCCTTTTCCTATGCGAAACCAATCAGTTGTTCCATATCCGGTTCTAACTGTCGCTTCTTGCCCCTTATACAGGTTTCTCAAGAGACATGTGAGGTGGTCTGGTACTCCCATCTCTTTAAGGACCTGCCATAGTTTGTTGTGATCCACACAGTCAAAGGCTTTAGCATAGTCAATGAAGCAGAAGTAGATCTTTTTCTGGTACTCTCTTGCTTTCTCCATAATCCAGCGAATGTTGGAAATTTGATCTCTAGTAGTTCCTCTGATTTATATACACTGCCATTAACGTCCCTTTTTAAAAAAAAAATGTATACAGAGATTTTTATTTTGTATTGCTGCTCTTGTGGGTTTTAAACAAATACAAATTTTGTACTGATTATACAGAATAATGACACTTACAGCCTTTGGTTCCCAGACTTTGACATTATTATGCTTTAATTGTTGCCAGTTACATTTTCAGTTATGCCAGCAATTGCTTTAAGATTTAGCAAGCCAGCACTTTCCATGCTTTTAAGAGGTACAAATTACATGGTAAAGTTGTACCCTGTATGATGCCAATAATGGCATCTTGACTTCTTATGTCTCATCAACTGCAAATTCTTAGCTATGTCAGAACACATTTCAATGTAGAGTTAAACCAGGCTGTGCCCCAAAGTATATTTTAAGGGATTAACAATTCTTAGGTTCGCACTTGAGAAAATGTTGCTACTGACCAGAAATGGAATTCAGATATGGTAACGTTTCTGTGCCTTTATTAGATGCATGAGCAACTGTGTTTCCTTGATGTGAAGCAATGTATGATTCTGCCTTGTATTATGGGCACTTGCCCCATAATAAGCATAAGGAGCATTTAATCTGTGCCATTTTAAACGGGAAAGGAGGTAATGCATATGTAGCTGGCAGCTGTATATTCAAAGAAGAATGGGATTTTGAGACAAGCAGATAACTGTGCATATGTGGGACTTCTGAATACCTGATTAGTACAGATTTTGCTTTAGGAAACAGTTCCTAATCTTCAGTAGGCTTTGTCACTCAACAATAGAGCATAGTATAGCAGTATTTCCGATTTTGATTCACTAGGTAATCCATAAATATTCAAATCTATACAACTCTCACTTTTCTAGGAACAGCCCTAGTGCCCTAATCTTGTTCATTCTTCATGGTGTTAAGTGTTTCACATACATACATATATAGAGGGGACCAGAGGAAGGTCTATGAATTACTAACTTCTTGGCTAGATTAGTTACGCAGCAGACAATGCATGCTAGCAGAAAACATGATCGTTGGCATCTGTCTGCTACCCATTTATAGGCACAGTGTCACATTAGCACAGGGAATGGCCGTGTTCTACACTCCCAGTAATGCAAGCAGTTTTGTGTAGAATGCAAACTGATGAAGGGGGTATGTCCGTGCTACAGAGGAAGAACTGGTATATGTGCTAGATAACTGGAAGATTTCCTGTTCACTGTCACATATCAGAGTCTGTACGTACTAGCTAAGATTGTTAGGTATATCATTGGGGGTGGGGGGAAATTGGAAAGCTACATAAATTTTGGAAGGTGTCTTTTCCCCATGCCTTATCAGAACACAGTGCCAAATCTTGGTTTCTGGGGTCACCATGGGGATGCTAAAGGCATTCCTCAGGACCTCTGAGGAAGTGAGAAAACGAGACTTGGAATAATACGGTTGTGTAGATTGCAAAGATGGGGGCAGGGAGAAAGCTATTTTGGTATTTCGTAATTTTGGAAAGTAAGCCGTTTCTCATGAAGAAAAGGGCTTAGTGAGGAAGTGGGGACTGGGGTTTAGGGGTCTCAGGTACAGCTTGAGAGATTTTGGCAGACGAGGTATGAAAAGACACTGTGGCTGGATTTTTATTTATTTTTGCTCGGGGGGGGGGCTATTGGAGCAGCCCCCAGGTATCTTGCAAGGTGGCTGTTTGGCTGTCCAACCCCTTGGAGCCTGGAGGCCCTGCAACGGACCAAGATCCAGATTTCAGGTCAGATCTCCCAGGGCCACCTGCAACATACAGTAACCTATCCAACATTGGCCTTTGCAATAAAATGAGACCGAGTTTGGTAGTACCCTGGAAGTAATATGACATGATGGGAATTTAAACTTGCTCTAATGAATCTCAGGCCTAGTCTTGGTTTTTCTTAAAGGGAGGAGGGGAGCAGCATTTTCAGAATGTAGTATTACTTCAGATAAATCCCAGATCACATTAAAAGTTTATGGAACATGTCCTAAAGTAATCATCCCAAAGCTGGGGAACGGGTGAGTAGCTGTTACTAACTAGACTCCCAGTTTACTAGAGAAAAGCATGGTTATCTTTCTTAATCACCGACTGATAACATATATGACAAAACTCAGCCTAGTGTCCCTTGAGCTTGCCAGTCCTTTTCCTACTTCTGCACTGAAGCATTCTTTGGAATACACAGGATCACTCCAAGCCTGGTTTCAAGACCTACTCATGCTGCTCTTTTTTAATTTTTTAACTCCAGCAAGTTGGCACAAATCAATCACTACCTTTACTTGGCACAGACTACCTCATGCTTTGTCTCTCTCTTAGCAAGCTTTTATTCTTGTATACAAGTGACAACAGACATTTCCAAGCAAAGGTCCGGGCTGGCTGCTGGCAGCTTGGAATTGGAACCCTCTCTCCAGGTGCCAGCTGGGCTAGTCCTTTGTGAACTCCTCAGCATCTTCCCAGGGTCTTTCCTTCTACCAAGGACAACTTGTGTTATAGGAATGAAGGGATTACCCAATTGGCAACCACATCAGAGCAGCAGGGGCTCCTTCTCGGCTTGAGGTATCACCAGTTGTTTTTCTCAGAGTGAATATTCATGCCACAAGCTGCAAGAGAGGCATTCAAAACATGATTATTCTGTGAGGAATCCAGATTTGGCATCTTAGTTGCCCTCTCTATTCCAGACAGTTCTCTACTGCCAAACAGCTGGACTGGACTAGGCTCCCTCCAGCGCCACAATGGCGGCACCGCAGCAGACACAATTTTATGGTCCACTTAAGCACATGATCTGTCTGGAGGCGTCTTGTCCCACGGCTCTCGACTTTCAAGGCCAGTGAGCTCTTGGCCAGCAGGAAGGAGGAGGCAAGGAAAACATTAACACAAGAGAGGAGCAAAAAGGGAGGGGAGGCTAGGAAAAAAGAAAAGAATAAAAGTTACTTATTCCCATCTAATGTTCTATGAGACTTCGTAGCCACTGACATTCCTGATGTTGGCTCCACTCCTGTGGTCTATAGCAGTGATGAAACTAAAAAGTCATACGTCTCACCAGTGCCTGTAAGGAAGACCACTAGAATCATCCCTGTGAGCTATTTCGGGCTTTCTAAAGGAAGATAAGGACAATAAGGCATGCAGTTTGATTATAATACAGGTCTAAGAAAGGAAACTTCAGGGTTCAGTTCCATTCTAAAGTATTAGAGTGGAATGAGGAAGTGATACAGCTGGAGTGCGGCAGTCCTTCGACGTGCACGACGACCTGGCTTGCATGAGCTTTTTAGGTGTCATGGTGCATACACCCAGTGTGGTGTGAGGGTCAGAGTGCTGGAATAGGATTGCTTGGTTTGAGTCCGCACTCTGCCATAAGAGCTCACTGACCTCGGGCCAGTCACTTTCAGCCTAGGGCCAGTCACTTTCTTTCAGCCTAACCTACCTCACAGGGTGGATACAATGGAGAAGGGGGGATGCTGTAAGCTACTTTGGGTCCTTGTTGAGAAGAAATGCAGTTTATAAATATCTAAATAATAATAATCGTACAATCATAGCCACTGGGACTTTCTACCATGATGAAATTGAATGTGACTTTACAGTGCAGACCCTGGCACAAGCTCCATGAAAGAAAGGGGGACAAGAAGACTGTCTGTGTCCCTTCACGAAGGACCCCCCTCCTCTGCGAGAATTAATTATGGAGTCTTCTTCCCTCCTTTCTCATGTCCTTGCTGCATTTCCTCCAGTCCACTTTGCCATGTAAGCCGCCCTGAGCCCTACGGGGGAGGGCGGGGTATAAATTTAATAATAAAAATAAATAAATAAATAACCTAACCCCCCTGGGGTGTCCTGCTCATTGATGCATGGTAAGAAAGAAACTGTCCAGCCCTTAGCCAAGAAGTCGTGCCACCTACTTGCCATTGGCAAGGGCCTGCATCGATAACCCAGCCTGCTCTTCCAGGGAGATCTCTGCACTGAACCCAGTGTACCCACCCCGGGGGCTGAGGGAGTGGGAAGCACCTGTGCATGATGGTGGGATTCCGCTTGTACTTCAGCAGCAGCTCTCGCACTGTGGTGGGTGGACTGAGCCCCAGCAACTCTGCTCGCTCCCAGCGCTGCAAGCGGGTGATTCCTGCCAGCGGAAGAAAGCAGGGTGGCCTGTCAGAAGGAGGGCCTCCCCCACGCAGTCTTCCTGCAAGGCCATCAGCTACAGGTTCCTGGAGACTTTCATTCATCTCGTCTGGGAGCTCTTACCAGTGCAGGGCCCAAATTCCCAGCTGAGATCAAACTGCTTCAGCACCTCTACTTGGTCTGGCTGCACAGCATCTTGAAGGAGGGCTTCTGCCTGGACTGTCTCTGCATCTGATGAAAAAGAAACGGATAAGAAGGGCCTCTGTCGTCTCGCTTCACTCCTGGAAAAGAAGTCCACAGCATCCCTTATCCAGTCCCACTAGTGCTCTTCTGACCTGCTCTCTGCAACTCAATCGTGGTCATGGAGTTTTGGTAGCGTTCCCACCCCTTTGATCCCATATACTGACCAAATACTCCTCCTGTTGTTTGCTGTGTAAATACTGTAAAAGGTAAAGGTAAAGGTTCCCTTGCTCGAAAGCCAGTCGAATCCGACTCTAGGATTGCGGTGCTCATCTCCGAAGAGCCAGCGCTGTCCGAAGACGTTTCCGTGGTCATGTGGCCGGGATGACTAAACACCAAGGCGCACGGAACGCTGTTACCTTCCCACTGAAGTGGTACCTATTTATCTACTTGCAATTTCTTGCTTTCGAACTGCTAGGTTGGCAGGAGCTGGAAGTGGTGGCGGCTACAAGCATGGACGGCTTCAAAAGGGAATTAGATAAGCATATGGAGCAGAGGTCCATCAGTGGCTATTAGCCACAAGGTATAGATAGGGACTCTGGGGCAAGTGATGCTCTGTCATCTTGGTGCTTGGGGGCGTCAACAGTGGGATGGCTTCTAATGTCCTGGCCCCACTGGTGGACCTCCTGATGGCACTGGTATTTCTGGCCACTGTGTGATACAGAGTGTTGGACTGGATGGGCCTTTGGCCTGATCCAACATTGGCATCTCTTATGTTCTTATGTAACCCTAGAGTCGGATTCGACTGGCTTTCGAGCAAGGGAACCTTTACCTTTACTTACTGTAGGTCATAACTAGGCTAAGGCAATGAAAATAGAAGAGAACCTTAGAAAGAGAAACTTTGACACTCCTCTCCATGATCAATGCAGAAGAGAGACCAGGGTTCCCCTGCCTCCTGAAATGTTATTGCTATATCACTTTACATTATTTATTGCTATATTACTTTACATAATGCAAGACTTTATTCACTTTCACAACTATACTATCAGGCAAGTCACCAATATTTGCATTTTATAAAATGAGGAAGGGAGGGGGTGATTTGGTGCTCAGTCACCATTGTGGCTCGAATTCCCTAAGACGTGTCAGGATCAACAGCAAGTAACTCTCCACACATGATTCCAGGGAAACGTTATGCTTTATTAGATTACAGGTCCGTTGCCATGGTCTACAGGGATATTGTTAGGAATGACAATGGGGTGGATGCATCCCTTCATGTAGCGTGATGCTGCAATTGGCTAAGCAAATGAAATCCAAGCGCGCGGGGGGGGGGGGATTCTCCTGGCAGGAGGTTACATAATGAACGGGAGAGTCTCCGTGCCTCATGAGAGCAGAAAGATTCACACCAACGGTGGAACGCAAGCCCTCCCTCCTCCTCAAGGTTAGTCAAGATAACCCAGTCTGGCAGCGCCAGTTCACACGGTCTCAGGAGAGCCTCCCTATCGCTGTTTACAGCAAGCTAGCAAAGCCAGCGAGCAAGCATGCACCGTAGCACCACAGTCAGGAAAGGACAGGTGCACAGAAAAAATGGCAGCTAGCTGACAAGACGTTAGTATGTGGTATTGTCCCACCACACCTAGAACAGCAGTCCCCACCTGCCACATTACTACTGCACAAGACACATGTTCCGTATCTTGCTGCTCTGCCATTCCCTCCAGAGCACCAGGCAGCTGGGACAGTGGGCTGAACAGAACTGGGGGGTGTAGGAAGGGATGGTAGCTGTCTTCCGGAAAGGAGCACAGCTATGTAACCACTATCAAAAGGAATAACTACACAGGTGGAATACTGCTACTGTAACAGTTAACCCTTGCCAGAAACAAACACCTTATACCTCCCTTGTCAATTACAGGTAATCTCTCACTCTGGGGTCCTCCTGCACAAAGTGCAGACCTGAAAATAGGCCTAACAGCAGCAGCAGACAGCCACAGAACTCTTGCAGGTCATATACATAAGGCTATCCCATCAGCAGCCAGTCCAAGGGACCTGAATTTCTCAAAAGGGGTGCCACTCCTATGGCAATTGGCCTATTCTGTACTTTAACAGCTCGGCCTTTTGAAACTGACTACTGATCATAGATTTATAAGAAGAAGAAGAAGAAGAGAGTGGATTTATACCCCATGGCCCTTCACTACCCAAAGGAGTCTCAGAGCGGCTGACAAACTCCTTTCCCTTCCCCTCCCCACAACAGACAGACACCCTGGGAGGTCAGCGGGGCTGAGGGAGCTCTTGAGAGAAACTGCTCTTTTTCAAGAACAGCTCTTGTCAGAACTAGGGCTTGCCCGAGGTCATCCAGCCAGGTGCAAGTGGAGGAGTGGGGAATCGAACCCGGCTCTCCCAGAGTAGAGTCTGCCTGCACTTTGCCACTGCACCAGACTGGCATAAGCAGGCCCCTGCCAGCAGCCGGCCATCAGAGAGTGCTCAGCAGGGCCACTTCCCACCCTGCCCTGCCAATACTCACCACAGGGAGGGCTCGGAGCCTTTGCTTCCTTACTGTCTTTCTTCTTCTTCTTCTTCCTCACCACTTGGAAAGAGTCTGTGATGAGACGCTTTCTGCCCATGGCTCCGTGAGCCTCAAGCCGGTTGCTCCCAATGGGAAGGCTGGGGGGAAACAACGCTAATCTAAGCTGGTGGCTTTGGGTTCTGTCCCGCTGAATCCCAACACGACAACCAGAGTTGCCTCCTGTCTGAAAATAATAAAGCTGGCTGGACACAGATGTGCCTAGAGGTCCCCTCCCATCTGCCTCCTCCTGGCCCCCAGCACCGGAGGGAGGGAGCCCCGGTCGACTAAGGGGGGCCTGTGTGTGTGTGTGTGTGTGAGACCAGGGACCCTGCCCCCTTGGTCATCAGGGCCCTGCCTGCCTCTTCTCCTGCCGCTCAGGGCTGGCGCGGGCAGGGTCACAAGGCTTTTGGGGATGGAATGGGATGCCGTAAAGTCTGCCTTCCAAAGCTGCCATTTCCTCTGAGGGAAAGGATCTCTGTAGTCTGGGGATCAGTTATAATTTTGGAACAACTCTCAAGTCCCACCCCAGAGCTGACAACCTTAACCCAGTGGGCATCTTTGTCCTGGGAGAGGGCATGGTGGTTGTCAGCAGACCTGGGCAGTAGTGCACCAGTAGAGAGGCAGACGGGTGGTGTAGGTAGATCTAGTTTAACCACTAATCTCCATAGCCCACACTACCTGCAGCGCCCACATTGCGAGGTGGCCATTTTTGCATGCTCTATGGTATGATCGTATCTGTTATGGATGTCCTGTCTTGTGGCAGAACTACACATTCTGTGTAGCTTTAACTCTAGTGTTTTTGTTGTTGTTTTTATTAAAGAACTAGCCTGATACCCGTGCTTCGCTACGGTATTTAAGTTCCGTAAATCCAGTTATAATACTGATGTGAAATTTGAAATGTGACATTTGTTGTAGGAATTCTAATGGAGAAGATTGTAGTGTAAGAAATGAAGTGAGACATATGCACTTCCCACCCACCCTCTACCGAAGGACCTCTCTCTAGACCACATTGGTGGTTCTGCCCTCAGGTGCTAGGATCACCAGGCTGCCTGATGAGCTCACACTGGAGCAGGCCACATAGAACTGTCCATTTAAGTAGCAGTCGTCTGTCAAGTCAACTCCTGCTACCTTCCACGAAAGTGATGGCCTCTCTACTTGTGTTCCTGGATTGTTTTGCTTATATGGAGACTGTGTTGTTCTGAGCACCTCAGGGTGATCTTGCTGATACTTGGCCTATGCAGCTCAGTGCACTTCAGGAAAATGTCTTTGCTGAATTCCTAAGTTGCCTCTTCCTTGTAGCGTTGGTGTATCTGGCTGACGTTTGCCAGGAGCTTTCTTGGGGGCAGTAAGAGGTGAGAGGTGTGAGGGGGAGTTGGTGTGAGGGTGGACATTTCTTCAAGTTCATGAGGGAGGCACGCATTGAAATGGCTCCTAGAAATGTCCTTTACTATCTCCCCATAAAAATTCATACCTTGGCCCTGCTCCTACACCTGACAGACGTCAGCCTGTCTGGTGTTGGGGGGGGGGGATTATATTTAAAGGCATTGGGGAGGCTGGGCCAGCAGCAGGGCTAAGGCAATCCTGCTGAGCGAACCTCCCCAGCGCCTGTAAGTATCCCACCTCCTCTCCTACACCTGACAGGCAGCTGCCTGTCCAGTGTAGAAGGGGAAGGGGGGAGGAGTATTAGAAGTCACTGTGGAGGCAGGGCTGGCAGAATCACTAAGGCCTTACTGCTGGGGCAGGCTCCCTCTCCTGTGTAGGGGGGGGGGAAGGGGGGGGGAGTATTAGAAGCCACTGTGGAGGTGGGGCTCCACCCAACAGACAACCGCCTCTTTGGTGTAGGAGGTGGGGGGAGTGTTTTGGAAGCCATCCCACCTCCTCTCCTACACCTGACAGGCAGCTGCTTGTCCAGTGTAGGAGGGGGAGGGGAAAGGAGTATTAGAAGCCACTGTGGAGGTGGGGCTCCACCCGACAGACAACTGCCTGTTAGGTGTACAAGGTATGGGCAAGTGTGCTCTCCCTTATGCTCTATAGGCAGCTGTGGTCTCCATTATTCCCTCTGGGCAAGTGTGCTCTCCATTATGCTCTATGGGCAAGTGTGCTCTCCATTATTCCCTATGGGCAAGTGTGCTCTTCATTATGCTCTATGGGCAGCTGTGGTTTCCATTATTCCGTATGGGCAAGTGTGCTCTCCGTTATGCTCTATGGGCAGCTGTGGTCTCTCTTATTCCCTCTGGGCAAGTGTGCTCTCCATTATTCCCTATGGGCAAGTGTGCTCTTCATTATGCTCTATGGGCAGCTGTGGTTTCCATTATTCCGTATGGGCAAGTGTGCTCTCCGTTATGCTCTATGGGCAAGCCTGGTCTCCATTATTCCCTATGGACAAGTGTGCTCTCCATTATTCCCAGTGGGCAGGCGTGGTCTCCATTATTCCCTATGGGCAAGCGTGGCCTCCATTATTCCCTATGTGCAAATGTGGTCTCCATTAATCCTTATGGGCAAGTGTGCTCTCCATTATCCCTTATGCAGATGATACCACTCTAATGGCAGAAAGTGAAGAGGACCTAAAGAGCCTCTTGCTCAGGGTCAAAGAGGAGAGCACAAAAGTACGCTTGAAGCTCAACATCAAAAAAACTATGATCATGGCATCCGGCCCCATCACTCCTTGGCAAATAGAAGGGGAAGTCGTGGAAGTAGTGACAGACTTCACGTTCCTGGGATCCCAGATCACCGCAGACTGTGACAGCAGCCATGAAATTAAAAGACGCCTGCTCCTTGGGAGGAAAGCGATGGCGAACCTAAACAGCATGATAAAAAGTAGAGACATCACCCTGCCAACAAAAGTCCACATAGTCAAAGCAATGGTATTCCCAGTAGTCATGTATGGCTGCGAGAGTTGGACTATAAGGAAGGCCAAGCACTGAAGAATAGATTCTTTTGAACTATGGTGCTGGAGAAGACTCTTGAGAGTCCCTTGGACTGCAAAAAGATCAAATCAGTCAATCCTAAAAGAAATCAACCCTGACTGTTCCCTGGAAGGCCAGATAATGAAACTGAAGCTAAAATACTTTGGCCACCAAATGAGAAGGGAGCACTCACTGGAGAAGACCCTGATGCTGGGAAAGATTGAAGGTCAAAGAAGACGGGGACGGCAAAGGATGAGATGGTTAGACAGTGTCATCGATGCAACGAACATGAAGTTGAGCCAACTTCAGAGGACGGCGGAAGACAGGAGGGCCTGGCGGGATCTGGTCCATGGGGTCGTGAAGAGTCGGACTCGACTGCGACTGAACAACAACAAACTCTGCATTATGCTATATGGGGAAGCCTGGTCTCCATTGTTCCCTATGGGCATATGTGCTCTCCATTATGCTCTATGGGCAGCCATTCCCTCCATTATTCCATATCGGCAAGTGTGTTCTCCATTATCCTCCATGGGCAAGCGTGGACTCCATTATTCCCTATGGGCATGTGTGCTCTCCATTATCCTCCATGGGCAAGCATGGTCCACATTATTCCATATGGGCAAGTGTGCACTTCATTATGCTCTATGGGCAGCCGTGGTCTCCATTATTCCGTATGGGCAAGTGTGCGCTCCATTATCCTCCATGGGCAAGCATGGTCCACATTATTCCGTATGGGCAAGTGTGCACTTCATTATGCTCTATGGGCAGCCGTGGTCTCCATTATTCCGTATGGGCAAGTGTACTCTCCATTATGCTCCATGGGCAAGTGTGCCCATAGCATGGCCTCCATTATTCCATATGGGCAAATGTGCTCTCCATTATGCTCTACGGGCAGCTTTGGTCTCCATTATTCCCTATGGGCAAGTGTACTCTCCATTATGCTCCATGGGCAAGCTCTATGGGCAGCCGTGGTCTCCGTTATTCCATATGGGCAAGTGTGCTCTTCATTATGCTCTATGGGCAAGTGTGGTCCACATTATTCCATATTGGCAAGTGTTCTCTCCATTATGCTCCGTGGGCAAGCATGGTCCACATTATTCCATATGGGCAAGTGTGCACTTCATTATGCTCTATGGGCAGCCGTGGTCTCCATTATTCCGTATGGGCAAGTGTGCTCTTCATTATGCTCTATGGGCAAGCGTGGTCCACATTATTCCATATTGGCAAGTGTTCTCTCCATTATGCTCCATGGGCAAGTGTGCCCATAGCATGGCCTCCATTATTCCGTATGGGCAAATGTGCTCTCCATTATGCTCTACGGGCAGCTTTGGTCTCCATTATTCTCTATGGGCAAGTGTACTCTCCATTATGCTCCATGGGCAAGCGTGGTTTCCATTATTCCGTATGGGCAAGTGTGCTCTCCATTATGCTCTATGGGGAAGCATGGTCTCCATTATTCCCTATGGGCAAGCGTGGTCTCCATTATTCTTTACGGTCAAGCATGGTCTCCATTTTACTCTAGGGGCAAATGTTCATTATTCCCTATGGTCAAATGTGCTCTCCATTATGCTCAATGGGCAAGCGTGTTCTCCATTATTGTCTGTCGTCAAGTGGGGTCTCCTCAAACCCAACAAAAGAAAATATGACAGAGCTATGGGTACAGGCTCGTAACTACCATGGGGCCTAGTGTCAGCTATGCTGCCATGATGTTTATGGGCAAGAGTGCATCTGCTTGACCTGTGTACCAACTGCTGCTGCATTTGTTCATTCTTTATTATCTCTGACTTTGCAAGCTGCTTGTGTAGTGTCTTCCCATCATTTACCCATGGGATTAGTTTCGATTCCCAGCTTTGGCTTTAATGTCCTGGGGCCCCATTCTCCCGAGTGCGGGAGTCAGACCAATTGGCCTAGGAGTCAGTTGTGTGCATACTAATACCCTATATCTCATTATGCTTGTAGGAAGGTAGCCATTCCTAACAGTAACGATGTTACTGCCTCTGTAGCTCTTACAATAAAGTGTAACCTTACGATAAGCGTGTACTCCTTTGTTTCGCTGTGGAACCTGACATTCTATTAGGAATCCTACCTTCTCATAGTCTGTCACATAGTATGTGACTCAGTTTGTAATGAGATTAGTATGATTAAGACTAGATGTGTATTTAAGCTAATCAGAAGATCTCCTCTCTTGGGTTTTTAGTCAGTAGTGGGTATCTTTTCTTTATCCCCTTAAATGTAGTCCCCTTCCTTATTTCTGTTATAGTTTGTCATATTAATAAAAATGCAATAAAAAATCCCCCATTGGGGAGGGGGGAAAAAGGAATCCTACCTTCTCTATCTACGCGGCTCTCTCAACCTGAGATGAGCGACGAAGAGGAGAAACCTATTCCAACGATGACTGGGGAGGAAACACCCACCACCCAGACCGAGGTACCAGTGACTACTATGCCACCAGTGACTACCCCGAGGAAGGACCCAGGGC